TGACGGGCTTGGTGTTATTTTCAAACTCTTCTCAATCACATTGTACTCCACAAATTGAAAATTTTTGTTAACACCCTTTTCTTCGAAGAGAAGTTCGAAAACATTTTAGCAACAATTTCACAACACATTTCTCAATGTAAGAGTTGTGGTTTGAGAGAGATGGTGTTGATAATGACGAAGAGGGGTAAGGGCCCCTTCAATACTATACCACCCTGGACGTGACAAAGTTTTACGACGTTACCACCACGGCTCTTGTAATGCCAATTCAACTTATTGACGCCCCAAAAATTAAGTAGTGTTTCCCTCACGTGTCAGCAACAAAATATTGCATTGGCAAGTTTTGAGGGGTTGAAATCATTATAAAATCGTACTATGATCGTAGTTTTATTAAAAATCCCCAGCGAAATTCTCTCTTGCAGCTTGTTTTGTTCACGAAAAAATACGCTTGAGTTGGCCACCCGTGTTTTTTTTACACTAAAAAAACAAGCAGAAGTTGGAACTTGCAAAATATATTTCATTCGCATCACAATTTCACAAGCCATTATTGGTATCCATTTCTTGTCCTGACATTCTCAGACATGCAGGAATTGCATCCCGATATGGACATTGATACAAAGCATACTGATAGGGAGTACGACCCTTCTTGTCCTTTGCAAAAACATCAGCATGATATTGCTCAACGAGGTATGGAATTAAGCCCCATCTTGATGTGTCTGCACATACAGCGTGGAGTGGTGTAATTTCCAAGCCAGTACTCATATTGACAAGAAGTGGTTGTTTTTCAATAATCTTCAAAATGAACTGATCTGACACATAACTAGAAAGAATGGCCGTCAATAAGGTATTGACGGTATAGTGACCAGGTTCTGGCTGTTCAGAATACATGACAGTTGTTTCTAATAAATCTTCAGGAGTCATGAAATCTAAAATGTAATCCAGCACATGTCTTGGAGCTTGAAAATGTAATAAATAATTAAATAAATTCACATGTAAATCATGATTCTTGTACAAAACAAATCTTTTGAATAGTTTTTTTGCATCCTCTTCAGGTAAATAATTCTTAAATCGAGTAAAAACTTGTAACATCGTTCCATAGTCGGTGCTGTGAAGAAGAGTCCCCAAAAAATCATTCAAACTAAGTTTGGCTTCTTTTTTCTTCAACTTCTCTTCGAACATATTCATCAAATCTTGAGAGAGGCTTGAGGAAAAGTATGGGATGGATTCTAACATGTTGCTGCAAATGTCATAACCATATTGCATTGAGATTGTTGAAAAGCTCAAGTCGCTATGGCTACCAAAATGTTGTCCATGTTTGTTCATCAAATAAATCGTGTACTGATACAAAGGCGCTAATTGTGGGTTTTGAAACTGATAATGACTATTTACCCAATGATGATCTTTCATATCAAAATGTGGTACCAAGTATTCAATAATCTTCTTCTTTTCTATGATTGGCACGTCTTCATCCACAACTACAGAAGTGTAGACATCTGGGCTGCTTACAAAAGGATAAATGTTGTAAGTGCTACACACTTGTTCAAACAAATCCGCATTCATATTCTTGTAAACAATCTCAATCTCTTGGTACTGTGCAATAGAAGATTGAATGTTGGCAGAAATTTCGTTACACATAAATCCCTCACACTCTATTTTAGAAATGTCAGGAAAAAGGGTGGTCAGCAACATCATGATGTCAGGAAAACCAAAACCCGTATTCGAACTCAAACATATAAATTTCACATGCTTCATGCAAGGATATTCCATACCAACTTGTATCAGGTTGGCGAACGAGTAAAAAATACTATAGGAATACAAAATTAAGGTTACATGTTCTAAATTCTGTAATGAATGCAATAATTCCATACACATGTAACAATCGTGTTCGCTGGCAATGGAAACAGTTAAAGATTTCAAATACTGATTCGTAACTTGTGGTAGATGCAAAGTATTTGTTCGAGAGTTATATTCTGAAAAGGCTTGTTGAATCATAGACTTGCATTCTTGAATTGGTTTCATGATATCAGCATCAACAGAATAGCCTTCATCCAAGAAAGAAGTGATGAGGTTAAAGTGTGGAAGATGTTTAACGTCCTCAATAAGTTCATCTTCCAAGTCTTTTAAATCTCTTTGCATCATTTCAGACATCAATGTATCCTCTTCTTCTTGTTGTTGTTCAGTACTATTGCTGGATGTTGTGGAAAAAGTATGTAAGGGTGGTAAAACAGTTCCAAATGTGGTTACTGGAGGAAATAAGGAATTGTCAAAATTAAAGGTTTCAGTGTTTGATTCCACGGTAGAGATACTAGTATTAGACATGTCAACCAAGTTATATTTTCCTACCACAAGTTGGAAATTCGATCTATTTTCCCAATCATTTCCTGTTCTGTCTTTAAATTTGTTTCTGAATTCAGCTTTTGCCTCCATCAACGATGTAAATATAATGATTTTCTTTTGTCCCGTTTGTCCAAAAAGGCCCCATCGAGTAAAAACACTAGGAATATGCATTATATATATGATCATGCGAACAATATTAGAAAAACTACTAATGAAATACTTAATAATAGTTACTTACCAGTAGTTTTTTCCATCGACCATTAATTGGATCGTATAGAACTTGGCAGGACTACCCGTAAAATGTAACATGGCGTTCCAAACGCACTCTCCTTCGACAAGGACATTACTGCCTTCAGGCACTGTAGCAAGAGCTTCATCAGCCTGGCTCTGTAATTTTTCATTATGAGGTGGATTTGCTTGCAACGTCATGAATCTCTCCTGAATTTCCAACAATTTCCAAATGGGATGACGCTTTAAAGCAGAAGGTCGAACAAGTACACTATCAGAAGCATCTAGACCCTCTCGTGAAAGTCTTTTACAAATGATATTTTCAAGAACCGATTTAAAGGATGTACTAATCAATCGATGTTTCATTAAAGAAAACCACCAAGGATCCACTTGTTCTTTCAATTTGGCTCCCGTCTGTGTATGCCTGACATACGGAGGTACTAGCAGAGAAGTGGTCGGAATAAAAGTAATGATATCAATTTTGACATCAAGAGGTAATGATTGAAGTAATTGTAAAACGTTCTCTTGTTGTTCTAGTGTACTCGTTGGATCATCATTGCATGGATGGTTTTTTTGAATTTTGCTTCAAACGAGCATCATCGTCATGAGTTTGTTGTTGCAAGTCCTTTAATATCCAAAATCTTGCCAACTTGGCACATCGGGAATAGGGAGCCAATCGTGAAATGATATCGGTGTGTTGGGATTGATCGTTCTTGATCATGAGTTCACGAAATTTGGAGCAAGTGTGTGGAGTGTAATGTTGTGCTCGTGGTGCTTTTCCACAAATGCCCTTCCTTGCTGTTTGTCTGGTTCGTGCCATTGTAAACCAAATTTTTTTGTTTATTCCATCACAAAGGAGAAGGGCAGAAAGTTTTAATGTCGCACGCAAACTTTTTACAAAATAACGCTGGCAAATTTTAGCAGGAGTTTTTCCATTGTGCACTCTTAATTTTGTAAAAAGTACAGCAAATTTTAAAAGTGGAATTCATCAGCTCTGCCATTAGCTAATTCTTCAAAAACATCAACATTGGACGATTTGTAAAGCTTGAGGCCAAGATAAAACTTGTTCGAGGGATTGTAAAGAGTTGGTGCGGTAATTGAGGTAAAGGCCGTGTCTTGATTCCATTGAAGTACTCGTTTCAGCAAGCTACATTTGTTTAAGTCAATCTTATCAATCGTAGTTTGTGATCTAGTGTTACAAATAACATCAGTTGTGGTGAAAGTGTACGTGCTGTCCATTCTATCGACAACATTAAGGAGATCTTGGCTAAATACAGAATCTTTTGAAAAGCCTTGGACCATGAATGAAGATTGAAGATTTCCTTCAGCAAGTCTTTGTAAAATTCCTTCTTGAGGTGTCTCTTTGACATCACCCCAAGTCAACAAAATTCTCTGATCAATGGAGTCACCATTTGGAACGCCTACAATCATTGAAGCTTCAGCCATTACGTTTCCTCTGTCACCACTATTAATTCTGGCAAGATTCAACAACATGAGCTCAGCTCTCATTTCAGTATAGCTGATGACAAAATCAGTTTGGTTAAGAATTAAGCCCTTAATGTAATTATCTTGGACTTGTTGGTTGATAATTTCATAAAATTGGGTAAGATTGGCCGTGTCAGACACCACGAAATTTGTCAAGTGATCAAAATTATCAGTTGTGAAAAGAGGAACTGTCTCGGTGAGATTCAATCTAACCCATAGTCTGGAACTAGAGTCACTAGATTCGTGACGTAAAACAGAATCCCATTGTGCTTCATCAAATTTTGAAGAAAGAGCAACACCAAATGTGGCTATTCCATCCTGATCTGGTATGTTTTTGTATTCTGGTACAGTTGAATACCATGACACTTTCTTGTCAGCAAGTGAATCTTTTTGATTTGCATTGTTTGTTGCAAGGGCTTGCTCAAAAGCTTGAGTTAGAGTGTATGTTTTGAAATACTTGGGAAGATTGACATCCTGGTTGTTGCTAAGTTTTGCAGCATAGGTTTTGTACTTGTTTTGAATCTTGAGGAGAGTAGCTCTTTGTGAGTCACAAACTCCTTTCTCCTGTAAAAATGTATCTGCGATTGAAACGACGTTATTCACAATTGTCTTTTTCAAATTTGATAATTTTCCAGTATTCAATACTCTTCCATAGCTTGTGGATTTCATACATTTAATATCTTTCAAAGCATAGTTAAATGATGTTGGATATTGACTATCTCCTGCTGTCTGACATCGTTTCCAAAATGAACTCACAAGATTGGAAGGTAAAATAATATCCTTCTTTCCGAGAGCATTACATTCACTATCAATAATAAAAATTACTCGGTTGTGATAGAACACAGCTACTAATAGGACAATGGCAACTCCAATCAGAACAAACAGAAGCATAAATATCGTAAAGCAATAATCCCAGAATC